TAGGCGTTTGTTCAGATGGAATGACCAGTGTTGACGAGATGTTCGATTATTGCACTCCTTATACGACCACTACTTCCTTTCTCCAGCCATGCTGGGCAGGATGCGCGTCGAGCGACCAATGTACCTGGTTCCACAGCAACAGGTGAACTGATATATAATCATAGATGTGGTCAGATGCAGGATCTTATCCTTTGGGCTTCTGCAGATCAGCAGGCGACTGGAGAAGAACACACTACTCTCAATGTTGCTGCAAGCAAATGTATTTGTTGCACACATGTGTAGAACTTGTTCAAGCGAAGATCGCTTCCACAAACGTAGAAATTATTTAGGGTTTTTTATATCCTTAAACTCTTGTGTTTAATGTAACAGCTTCATGTCAGAAAAGTGTGCTAGTTTTTAAAAGGCATTTCTCAAACAAGCTGATTAGTTTTATTCTTTGAGGAGTGTTCTAGAGACAATGCAACAGAAGATTTTTAATCTAACTATCTGTGGCATAGCGGTTAGGACGCTCGCCGACCATGGACATAGTCCGGGGTTCGATTCCCGGCCGACGCACCCCTTTACCTCGCTAAGCCAGAAATAATGCTGGTAAAGAGGAAAGGCTGGGCATGAGGCTAGCAACCCCATCTTGTGAAATAAACACTGCTACAGAAACTTCAAGACACTAGCTTGAAGCCCTATGTTCCACTGGGTGGGAACGTGAAGGGAAAAAAATCTATCATATCTGAAATAGCTTATCCCTAACGAATGGCTTACGTAGTTATCTTTGTAGTTCAATTAGTATACTATCTACATCAAATTACCAATTATATTATGTACTTTTGTGAAACTGTGAGTGTATTTCTAATCTTGTATCAGTTCAGGTATTTCTGCTTACAACTTAGTTAGGAATCAGTTGCGTTGTCCTAGAACAGACTTTTCATGTGCTTAGCCATCATACAGACACTTTGTATGGCTAATAATTATACTAAACAGGCTAAATTAGTCAGAGAGAGAGGGAGACTTAAACGTGGGACTGATTGGCTTAAATCCGAGTGTCGTCTACATCGACAATCCATACCTGCGTACATGCACTCTTGTAACATGTGTTAAGTAGTGGAGTGATGAATAAGTTTATCAAGAAGAGAATATAAAGAGAAACTTCTCGAATGGAGTTATGATGATGGCTTTATCTCCATTCTTACGACCTTCCAATGAAAGAAAACATTCATTTGTGAGACAATGACAGTGTCTATGAATAAACTTAACGAATATATTTTTAGAGTAAGTCGAAAACAACCCAGTACAATCCTATCTGCTGTTGACAAACAAAGAGTTCCCTCTTTGTCTAGATCAGTGAGTGAAGTAAGCGAGGTTGAATGCGCCATGAAAATCTCCTCTTTATGTGTTTTGCTACACATTAGCTGAGCTGGATGTCTGAGTTGCTTATCTTTATCAGCTCCACAAGAACAGGCAAACCCCAGTGGCAAGCTAAACAATTATTCGAAGGCATTTGGTGTAGTATATCAGATGAAACTGTCAGATGAACGACTGTTTAACACACTTCAGCTACTCCGTGAGCCACAAATACACTTCCGTAGTTCAGTTGGTAACTGAATACCTCCCACCAACCAATGTTAACATCGCAATGAGGTCTTGTATTTAAAATAATACGACAACCTAGCTATAGACCTTTATTCGAATAGGATATTCCTCCGAAAACTGTATAAACGAGTTATCGTTATTTCGCCAAACTTCCCTATTTGCGATCGACTTATTGTGCTAATTTCGGTTGTCATTTACTTGCTAGCCCTACAGTCTAGTCCGTTAGTCTTGTCATTTTGAAAATATTGGGCTTTATTTTTCAATTCAATCCAATTGAAAAGTGACTATTTATTCGTTCTATTTTTGTTGTTTCCTAAATATTCAAGTGGTTGACATGTATTCATAGGCCAAGAGTTATATTCTCATCTCAGCTGCGCTTTGTTTAAACTTCAACTATCATTATTTGCTTTGAAGTCGATGACTATGTAATATACCTCTGCAGACTACAGCATCAAACATCTTCTAATTATTGACTCCATCCCTACATATCTATTCCTCAAAATCATTCGGTGACTAGAACGACGCAAGTGTGTAGTACTCCTTTGTTTCCTGTTATTTCCCCACTTATATTTTCAAGGGTTGGTTTGTAAGGATTAAATTTGTGTTTACGAGTTTGACCACTGATTGATATCAGTTAGAGAACCATTGAAAACAAGTCACAGGGAGTACTGGACAGCTGTTTCATCCTAGTTTGGGAATCATCGGCAGTACACACCCACTGCCCAGGGTTCGAATCCAGGACCTTTCGATCACAAGGCCAGCGAGCTCGTATACGATACAGCCACCACTGGGACCCGATTCAACGGCCAACCCATGAATTCTAACTTCAACCAATGTCATCGGTGGGAAATCCATCCTCACACTCTTGACTGGTTGTACCTCACTGGTTACGACTTCTCATTAGAACTGACTCCAGGGAACTCCATCCTGTACCAAGTCACCAGCAAGCATCTCACTTATGTGTTGGTCCGCGAAGCAATATTCACTGAGATAGTCTTTAACACAAATGACTAAATGAGATCACTAATTATTTCATTCCGTCCACAGAAACTGTCCCAACAAGTCGTAATGCATATTGAGAATTCATTCACTGACTACTTCAGATGTAGTCACAAGCACGTCAGTGCTACGAGTGTATGCTACAACAATTCTCTACGCTTATTTTCCTTCAAGATGAAAGTACATCTACGAGTTGTGACTGATAGGTATGACTGTTATCTCTCAAAAATATTCAGTAGAATGCTATGAAAACTGTCAACATTGCCGAATCCCATTTAACAAACAACTAGCCTATATGCGTTGGTGAATAACTACTGGAACTGAATGGTAGATATTCCTACACTGAAAAATATTTTCAAGCCCTTAATCCACTGGCATCATTGTGTAAGTGTACTTGAATGTTACGAAGGTCGTCTTTCAATAAGTGACGTTATTTCGAGTGACCGGCTACGTTATGTTATCTAAGAGTCTCCTATACCATTCGCTACCTCTAGGACTAGATGGAAAACAGGAACATAGCACTTCAGGATGAAGAATGGGTATACTGCATTTCGTGGCGCTCTCGTATTGTAAGGAGTTTGTGTTTAAAGTAAATAAACAACCTCCAGTCACTTGGTCTTAAGAGTCCCCTCGTTTTTGTTGTTAAATACTAGGGTCTTACTACAGTTTAGACAACTTATTCTGGGGACTAATGTTATAAATAAGAATCGGCAGGCGACTTTTCAGTTTTCTCAATATCGTGTCTACTTCTAGACAATGATTCCGTATTAAGGCAAAACACTAGGTGACGTTAGGAGTTGATCATTCTACTACCGTCTAAGGGGAGTTAATTAAATATGAGTTAACATTAGTGTCTTAAGTACATATTTACCCCACCCTCTTACAGAGTTGATTAAGTAGGAAGTTCTTATCTCAACACGCAATAATAATTAGGATGTCCCTGAAAACCTAATCTAGAATTTCAAACCCCGTTAACAGAATAAAAATATGTTCTAGAATAGGGCTGGTTATGAATAAGCTATAGAGGTTGTATATAGGACAATACATGCCGACAGGAACCAGCAGCCAAATGTCAAATAATTAACAGTTTTGTTCTCATTCTGTAGATTAGGGGGAAATAAAACACCAGTAATTAGACCGTCTGCCTATCAAATGTTATTAGCAGGATACTTACCGTTATTAATAATTATGTGACTTAAATACGTATGACCCTAAATTAATAAAAACACAGAAGTGAAGATAAGTCAGAGTGAGTATCGCTGTGGTATCGACAGAAAACAAGTCGTGTAATTACGACCTGTAATACAACGGACTGGTACGTGCGCTCCACCAGGACCGGTTTTAAGTTGTATCAATAAAATCTACCTTCATCACTATATAACCTCCAACCTAGAGATTATTTTTTTTTATATTTTTGATTACAGCTTGATTCCACTGTATTTTTGGTACAAGTGTGGAATTTACAGCGTAGATATCGGTAGCCCAAAATTCAAAGGCCGACCATAGATATCAGGTGTGCATCGGCGTGGGCTCGAACCCTGGACCATGTGCATGGTCGGCGAGAGTCCTAACCATTGTGCCACCGACGCACATAAATCGAACACTGTTGTACTTTGTCATGATATTCTGAAGACATAGTTATAACTCCGGTTATTGACAAGACTTTAACCAAAATAAGCAGTTCCAGATGCCTCATAATTTCAACCATTCTATCTCCCACTCTTTTGAAGCAACAAGTGGAGGTTGGTTTACATATTCTTGGTGCGTACAGAGTGGAGCCCACCCACAGTATCTCATCTTAAGCCGCTAAACTGGGGTAAGCGGTGGATCAGCACGTATAACATATTACACCTATGTCAACTCCAAGACCTCCTCCATCCAATACAACTAATCACCAATTATTCTCAAGTGATGAGGAAAGCCACAAGGACACGTAGCACTCGTCAGGTGTGAAGCATAGACCGATATCATTCTATATGCTTATGAATACCGGCTAGACCATAAGTAAACATTCTCAAACTAAGTTGAACGGCAAACTGCGATCGACCAGATCACGTGATCCTTTCTTGATCACTGTGGAGACCAACGATGAACTTTAACTGGAATAAAGTTCTAAAATATATGTAAATCTATCACTCAGTTATAGCTGATGAATGACACAAATGACTTCCAGTGCTTAGCCACAGTTAAAAAAGCTCGCTATACATCACTCAAGTATCTTTCTTCAGCGCAGAGTGACGAAACATATGATGACCAGCATACACCCACAAGTGTGCATAATTCTCAGGAGTTTCGTGGCTTGCTGATACTATGCACAATTATGCAAACAATTCGTCGCAACATACTTCGATGCATTGACGTGTTGTGATTAAAATGCCAAAATCAGCAGCCGAAACAAGCAAGTTAACTTCACTTCTGGAAACTATTTTAAAATGTATTTTCCTATGCCCACTCAAACCAAACTACAGTAGCTATAAAACCAAACACCCAACGATTCAGCTTTGAACGAATAACGAGCGGTCACACTGACATACACGAAACAGCCCACCAAAATATAAAACTATGAGAAGCATGCGACAGGACACAAAGTGTATTGGTTTATTTCTTAACAGCCTTTGCAGGTTTTGAGACTTTTCCTTCAGGCTTCTTCATCTTGAATTGTTTCAAAATTCTGTTCCGCTGAAAAATAGAAAGACAGCAACACTTAGTTACTGGAAATAACATAGTCAGATAGAGAAAATCATCAAAGGAGCAGACGGCTCTTCCAAAATATCATCACATAAAAAAAGGTGTTAATTACCTGTTGACGAGCAACCATCACTTTGAATCGGTCAAAGTCCGACATAGACGCTCGAAGAGACTTGCGGTGCAGCTTTTTTGCCCACACAGTATTTTCCCAATCTTTTGTTATCTCATATTTTGACCACAGCTTTTGAACTGCATTGGTACCACAACCATGAGGAATTTTATATTTCAGCTTTGTCAAGTGTAGTCTGTTTAAGTTGATCGCTTGCCTAGGGACACCAGAACAAGGACCATCAATCAGAACTCGTCTCTGGTCAATGATTTCTACTATGACCGCAACTTTCTTTGCATAAGGCCCAGAGGCAATGAATACCAAGCGCCCTGCCTCCACAAACCTAGTATGATTAACCATATGGTACGATTGTTGTTGAATAGGTTAGTCGATACCAGTCCACTTGACGCTGTAAAGTGAAAAACATGTGAATAAGCTATCGATACAAGGTAACCTGGCATAGGAAAAATGGTGACACAATCACTAATGTCAGGTATGGTGCAGTCAAATTCGATTATAAGCCAGGTACGTGTCATCAACTTATTACATAATTACCTACTAGTCCTACTGACTACCAGATGGTCAACAAGGAAACTATCACGACAAACATACATCATTTTAAGACATAATTGCCGCAAAAGTGAATTTGCACTGAGCTTAGATTGAAGAAGTACAGAACTAACGAGTCTCCTTGGACTAAAACGTGTTCTTTCCGTATAGGTAATAAAATGAGCACTATCAACATCAACACACATGCTCAGAACGGAGTGGAATTGACGTTCAGATCTGAGCGGCAGTCGTCTGCCGTGTGAATACACGATAAATGAACCAGCTGAACCCAAGTACTTCACTCTTATGCAACCATAGAGTTATGACACGTTACCTACAATGGTTACCAAAAGCTTACCTAGAGTGACAGCCATTGAATATTAGGTGAGATGCAAACTTCATCCTCAACAACTCGTGGAGTCTTACCTCGTCAAATGGTCACGCGCTACTGCTTGATTAGAGTTCCACTCCAGCGCTTCAATGTATATAAACAAGTGTCGAATTTCAATACACCTACTAGACACTGGGTAAAGTAAACTGTTTGATTCTTTATATATTTCTCCTCTCCATCTGAATTGAATTTTCTGGGTAACAAAATGCAATCAGACTCCAAATAAAAGCATCTGCTCACAAGATATCAGGCTCTCATATCCAATATCGTTTTTACGAGCTAGTATAAACCAATTTGATTTCTTTGTGCTCGCTTCTTGATTGTGAGGTATAGGTTCCTGATCTTCGGTAAACTTCTGCGTAGCTTGTCCCGCCACTCGACTGTCGTAGCTTTGGTTGACTCCAAAGGGAGTAGTGCTGGGATTAATTATGTGGTTTGTAGTATAAGGTATGTTAAGACTGTTACTACTGTGATTGGAGTTGATCCTTTCGCCAGTTAGTCCTTCGGTATCGTCGACAAGAGAAAAGAGATAGTAATAATAATAGTAATAATAATAATTAGTGAATCTATTCAGACTAAGAGACAGAAATAAGTATAAAACTTGGGCACTGTGGTAGAGTATAATTCCATTATAGATAAGATTTTATTTTGATAAATCGCACAGTGTTTACAGTTATATGAACTGATGACGTTTCGAGCACAAACTATTGCTCATAATCATATCAAGTTACTCACACAACTTTGATCTCTCATTTATATACATATGTGGAATGGATTAGATATTGGATTAAAAATCAATGTGAGATAATGTACATTCAGAAATAATCGTACGAGTGTTGTTGATCAATTGCAATTAGATGGGAAAATTGGACGAGTGTTTTTACAGTCATAATAAGCTGCTTGTTAGAATGTGGTTGAATTGAAATAGAATTTTAAGATTATTTATTATCTTCTTCTGGTTTGATTGATGGCATTAATACGAGTGCTATTGATCTACTATAATCAGATGGAAGATACGACGAGTGTTTTAATAGTCATAATAAGTTTTTTGTTAGGATGTTGTGATGTGCTTGAATTGAAATAGAATTTTAATATTATTTATTACCCTCTTCTGATTTGACCTGCGGTAATAATATCTTCCATATCTCTGGTATTTGCGTTGAGTCATTTTTGTTGCATGTGTTGGGTGTGGACTCGATAAATAAGGATTCCGTAATCAACCTCTCTCTCCACTTAGCTATATTACTTTTTAGAATTTTAACCCTATCCCACCCTATTGTGTGGTTGTTTGTTATTGCATGAAGTGCAATAGCTGAGCTTTTTTCTAAATTACTTATCTTTTTAGGGTCAACCATTCTTACCTTAGCTAAATTCTTATGTTCTGTTAATCTGACTATCCCTGACCTACTAGTTTGACCTATGTAGTTGACCTCACAGTTATTGCAGGGTATTTTGTAAATTATATTATTTTGTTTAATTGGATCCACCGGGTCTTTTAGCCTACAGAGCTTGTCTCTGAGTGAGTTTGTAGGTTTGAATGCCACTCTAATTCCTGCTTTATTAAGAATCCTACGTAGGGCCTCAGATGTGCTTTCCTTATATGGTATAACAGTGGATGACTTATATTCTTTCTTATTTGTGTTATTATTAGTAGTTTCACCATTATTTTTATTTTGCTTTTGGTTTTTGGTGATCTTCCTAATGAATTTTATAGGATAGTTATTCAACACCAACGCTTCTTCTATCTGTTTTATTTCATCATTTAGGTCTTTTTTTGTGCTACTTAGTGCTATGGCTCGATTTGTTAGACACTTTACTAAGCCTGCCTTAACAGTTAACGGATGAGACGAATTAAAGTCTAAATATCTATTAGAATGCGTTGGTTTTCTATAAACACTGGTGTGTAGTTTGCCTTCTTCTATTCGTTTTATTTTACAATCTAACATAGCTAATTCTCCTAGTTCATTTTCTGATTCAAATGTGAATTTAATTCCTTCTACTTGTGAGTTTATATGTGTCAGGAAGCTAGAGATATGTTCTGTTTTTAACACCGTGAAAGTGTCATCCACATATCTCCACCATATTTTTGGAGTGGGGTTAAACGTATTAAGAGCACTACTTTCCCAGCTGTCCATAAATATGTCTGCTACGATAGGGGATATTGGTGATCCCATTGCTACACCTTCTGTTTGTCTATATATTTTGCCTTGAAATTTAAAGATAGTAAATGTGAAGCATAACTGAATCCCTAAAATAATTTCTTCAATGGGCAGTTTTGTCCTATGAGTGAGTGCAGGATCTGCAGTTAGTTCTTTTTTAACTGCTTCTAAGGCCATATTGATTGGTATATTAGTGTAAAGACTAGTTATATCAAAAGTAACCATTTTTTCATCATTCTCTAGTTGAATGTCATTTAGCTTACTTTTCATCTCATATGAATTAGTTAGTCTAGAGTTTGAGTGATTTCTAATGGGACAAAGTATTAGAGCTAAGTGTTTTGATAATTCATAAGTGGGAGTATTTCTAAAATCTACTATTGGTCTTATGGGGTAACCTGGTTTATGTATTTTAATAGTACCATATATTCTACTAGTATTATTAGTTTTAGGCATTAAAGTAAACCATTTAGACTCACACAGTGACAGCTTCATTCTCCGTATTAATTCCGCTGTAGATTTCTTTACCTTATTCATTATTGTATCTACAGGCTTCTTAATTTCCTCATATGGACCCGTTTCAATATGTTCACTGACTTTCTTGATATAGTCAGATTTATTCAGAACTACGGTGGCGTTTCCTTTGTCCGCTTTTGCGATGACAATATTTTTATCCTGTTTTAGACTAATTAAAGCTTCCCTTTCTGATTTTGTTAAGTTTGATCTTGCCTTCTTTTGATTTTTCAGGGTTAACGCACATTGTGCTCTAACCTCTTCTGCTGTTGTCTTGTCTATTGAACCTAGTGCTGCTTCTATGTTAGGAATAACGTCCTCTGGTTTTAATTTATTAACTGTTACGTTAAAATTTAGTCCTTTCTCAAGTACTTTTATCTCACTAGAGCTTAGTTCTCTTGATGAGAGGTTGATCACCCATTTTGTTCTGTCGATAGAGGATGAAGTGTTGACATCAATTTCATTTGTTGTGTTCTTTTCTTCCATTAGTTTGTTGAATTTTTTGATTTGTGTGGTTTTTGATTTTCTTAAGGCTGATTCTCTAGCTTTTTCGGATGTTTCAACAACGATTACATAATCTTTGTCATTGACCATACATTTGAGTTTCTGTTTGAGTTTTTCGATTTCATTTCGTATATTATTTAGTTTCACAGTAACTCGATGTAGTTCCTCTCTTAGACATAATCTACTGAGATGTTCAGCTGCTGATGATATTTTCCTTGAAGCAATTGGAGTGCGTATGCGTAAATATTTTGGAATTACATGATTTTTTAAACATCTACTATTAAAAATCCGGTGGTTTGTGAATCTTCCTTCTGTTTGGCAAAGTCGTGTGAGTTTATTAATAAGCTTCCTTATAGGAAGACCATATGTATTATTGATATAAGTATAAAACTTGGGCACTGTGGTAGAGTATAATTCCATTATAGATAAGATTTTATTTTGATAAATCGCACAGTGTTTACAGTTATATGAACTGATGACGTTTCGAGCACAAACTATTGCTCATAATCATATCAAGTTACTCACACAACTTTGATCTCTCATTTATATACATATGTGGAATGGATTAGATATTGGATTAAAAATCAATGTGAGATAATGTACATTCAGAAATAATCGTACGAGTGTTGTTGATCAATTGCAATTAGATGGGAAAATTGGACGAGTGTTTTTACAGTCATAATAAGCTGCTTGTTAGAATGTGGTTGAATTGAAATAGAATTTTAAGATTATTTATTATCTTCTTCTGGTTTGAGACAGAAACGAAAATAGGAAACGTAACAACAGTCAGCTCATTAAGTTTGAAGAATAATATATATATCGGTAATAGTAATAATAATAATAATAGTAATTATAATATTAATAAGTTGTCAGGAGAGTAAGACGGGAGAGAATGTAAAGAAGTAAAATGACGAGTTTAATTATCTACCCTGATTGGTAAATGCGATTTTAAGGAGATAGGCCATTTGGATGCAGTCCTTGTATCGCTGCATGGTTGTCCAGCCTTCGCTTAAAGGCGTCCAAAGACGGTGCCATAGCTACATCTGCCGGTAAGGAATTCCAGGGACGACAAACCCGCAGTGAAAAGAAGTGGGAGCGCACCCGGGTCCTTGCCCTCTGGTGAGCTATCCTTCTGGGATTTCCACGTGGAAGCCTATACCTACTCAATGGCAGAACACCTTTGTTTGGGTGATTCTGGTCATTTGTTATTTTGTAGGCAGTAATCAAATCCCCCCTAAGCCGACGGTAACTAAGTGTGAACAGGCCTAATTTCTTCAGCCTTTCATCATATGGTTTGTTTCGGAGACCAACCACTCCTTTTGTTGCCCGTCGTTGGACTCTTTCCAAGAGGTTGGCATCTCTTCTCAGCATTGGGGGTGCAATAATATTATGCACCTCAAGGTGTGGCCTGACGTATGTTTTGTACAACATTAGAAAGAGCTCAGGAGTGAGTGCACCTAACTGTCTATGCGTAAAGTGTATGACCGCATATGCCCTCGCTACATCCCCTGTGTAATTTACGCTTGTGTCCATTTTTTCCGTTAGAACTAGACCTAAGTCGCGTTCCGACGTTGTGCAGGACAAGCTTTCATTGCACAGGGTGTAACTTGCATTCTGCAGTCTACAGGTGCGCAACTTCACTACTTTGCACTTTTTCAAGTTGAAAGTCATGCCACTGGCCACCGCCCAGTCTTCCAGAAGGTTTAGGTCTTCCTGTAGCCTATCTGAGTCCTCCGGACACTTTATCGCCCTCCATATTTTTACGTCGTCAGCGTACAGGAGAGTCGGGCAGCTCAGACGGCGTGGTAGATCATTGATGAAAATCAAAAACATCAGTGGTCCTAGGATAGAACCCTGCGACACTCCTGATGACGATCTGTGCCAAGATGATCGGACTCGGTTAACCTTAGTGCAAAATTGCCTGTCGGCTAGGTAGTCCTTCAACCATGACAGAAGTGGCTCACCTATGCCTGCCTGGCTTATTTTATGTAGGAGAAGGTCATGGTGAACAGTGTCAAATGC